GTATAAGTATCCTATACTCGGTAGATATACCAGAATAATAATGGCTTACACTTAACGCGAATTAGCCAAAGTGGCCAGCCCGCAAGGTCAAGGAACTGGAAGAAGGTAGCCCATAGGAAGAGGTTGTCAATAAGAATTCAAATGATTCAATGTTTTCTTTGTTTTAGGCACTTGGGCCGATAAGATGGTTCGTGTTATTTAATAACTTGTCCAACCTTACACGTCACTTCCTTTTTCGAAACCGCCCAGAAGAAAAAATCAGATAAAAGAAAAACGTAAGAACGTGCAGTTTGTCGGCTTAGTTAGGGTCGAAAGAACCCCATTTGATCTGCTTTGTGTTTGTTAAACGAGAATAAAAGAAGAGATCTCAAATAATCACCCTATTATGTAGCTTCGTCTTTGAGTAAATTTCACTCAACCGAAAGGATGGGCACTGTAAGAAGCTACTACATTTGGCCCAAATCATGACAGCTGCGTTGCTCAAAAAAAAAAAATGTCCTTCCATGGTTGATTTACTCCGTCCATTTAGGCGTGTTGATTAGCATGGAATCTTTCAACTCAACAGTCAATTGTCACAGACGCAGCTGTAAGCAAGACGATGCTAAGGCACCTCTGTCTAAGTGAATGTCTCTACCAGTGATATTTTAAAATGAATATTTTCCCGGTGAGTTCTTTTGGCTAAAAAAAACAACTGAAATGGAAAGGAAATAGAATGACTGATGTCTCCACAGAAGAAAGCTCTGCCTTACAGAAATATTTATTATTCCTGAACCGGCTTGTCATGATAATCATAAGGTCACCATCTTAGAGATCCAGATTACGCTTCGCTGCGAATACAACAGATCCATATTTTTTTTGCGAGAACAATAGGCATTCGGCGCGATGTATGAATGACTTTGTGAATAAAAATAAGCGAAAGACAGCTCTATAAACATTGAAATTATGAAGTTCGTTGAGCACAGAGAATTTTACAATAACAGCCTCTGGGAAAATCAAAACAAAATGTTGGATTCATGAACATGCATGGTGTTGTTCTTGAACACCACTAAGACGGTCTTACTTAACAAGTTAGCCTTGCCAAAGTAAACTTGTGCTCTTTGTTTCTAGTTGAAAGCTTAATCAGCGCGGCACGTTCCCCATTAGAGACGGGAAGCGTTGTTTGTTTTGTTTTTGCCTCTTTTATTCCAAATGGCATTGTTTTTTTGATACACTAAAAACAAATGGCTATTTTGAGAATCCTCCTACGGTTTCCTCGACGTTTTTTATTTCACCAAGAAGAATGGTCTAGCAGGACGTAATTTTGGTGAAATTTGAATTGTATAAACCAATAAAAAAATGTAAAAAAAGTTAAAAAATGGTGGCTTTTTTGCTGAATTCAAGTTACTTTAGTCATCAGGTAGTTTAACAGCTATCAGTTTCAATCTAACGTAAATTTTATCTTAATTCTTCCATGCGTCAAAAGTGTCAAAATTTCAGCATGACTGTCAAACAGGTCTTTCGTTTTCCCCTTAGTAGGTCAGCTCCAATTCGTTTTCTCGACAGGAGCTCATTTAAGAGACACACTTGCATATAGGCCGACGCAAAAAGGTATTTAGAACTAAACCAACCTTCAAATAAAAAAAAAAATCTTAACTGGCCCCTTTTAGTGGGGATAATTGGATGTTCTCATATGTCATTCACTGCAACTCACATCTGTTTACGAGCAAAAGGTCTGAAGATGCAAAATCGTCTAATTTCACGTTTAATATTTCTTGATCTTTTGTTGATCTGACGCTTTAGGGTAACCTGTTCCATAAAACTGGGGCAGTAGTAACGAAGGATCAGGCTCTCGTGGTTTACATGGTATTGAAATGGTGCTCTTTAAATCGAAGAACACCATTGTTAGAGAGGCGCTGGTACAACGATTTGGTGATTCCTGTTATTTGGAGTTCGACTACCTTTCATGCATCGTGGGAACAAATCCTAAGTGGTGGACACCGGCAGAGTTGCATAATGAATAAAAGCAGTGCGTGTTTAAGGCTGCCCCTTAAGGTGAAACCTCTTCCTATGGCCCATCACATGAAATTCATCCGCCCACCCCCGCGTGACAAAGAAACTTCTTTGTCTTTTCCGAGATGGAATGATTTTTTCCTTTCGCAGATTTTTCGAAAGGTTCTTATGACCAGTTTAAAGTACGAAAATAGTTGATAGTTGAGCATCCAAAGTATACTTTTATAGAAGAAAATAAGTGAATCTAGGAATGAAATATCCAACAAATAGCTCGACATTTCTATCACTCATATGCTTCAAGAGCGATTTAATCATATTAAATAATAAAGAAATAAATGTGGGATATTCAGCAAAATGTTCCCGCTTAGCCAATCCCCATGGGATTGTACAATTTTAATATCTCTCTTTTTTTAAATTCAGTTTCTGTTCGCAACAATTTTCCACATATCAGTCACGATGGGTCATTTACGCTAAGTGGGTCAAACTTATAAGAAACGAGAGAATTCAGCAGTTTACCATTGAGGTTTGTTTTCTCAAAGTCAAATTAACTTAGTCGTTTAAACTTAGATTACCTTCATCTGCCAAAAGATAACATACATTTTGTTAAATTAAAACTAGGTCGGGAACGTCTATCTCCTACACGGCGGACGTCTTTTTGGACATAAGAATTCTGCTTTCGAGGGCTAGAAATGTGAGTATGTGAGTTATTCAACTATCATGCCATCGTCGTGTGATTTTAAAAAACAATTATGAATTATTCTGACTGCTCAAAAACGTCCTCTGTATCCTTCAAGCACGTGCTTGGTTGGCCCTACGTTGGTCGGCAACAAAGAAGGAAGTCTCAGTTACAACGGAAGAGTGTGCCTTTGAACAATAGTAGAGTCCGACCACTCTTTTCCACTTAGCGTTCCAAGTTCCTGTCTAGTGGGCGTTGTTTACCCAACAGAAAAGTGTTTCTTTTTTTAACCAAAGTCATCGTCACATAAATATTTCAAAACAGGTTGCGAAATTGCCACATATGACCTCAATAATTAGCAGTGCCTGCTTAAGACCAGCTTTGAGGTTTCTATTTAGTCTGAGCTTCATCTGCTTTGCGCGTCACAGAAGCTTATCAATCTGTAACACTGATGCTCTTTGTTATCGATTCATAAATAGACTTCCTATTGTAGCTCTAACTTCCAAGTGAGAGTAAGCTAAATTTAAACGCTACTCAGGAGTATGCTTCAATCCTAGTGTTTCTTATGCTGATAAAGATAAAATAGGATCATCTATCGACGAGCATATACAGGCCCCTCGCTTACTGTACATTTCAATTCTCTTTTGTTTATCACCCACTTGGCCCTATGCCACGAGTTCTCTCTTTCCCAAAGCGGATTGACTGTTAATGGGTTTAAGGAATGATAAAGTTTTCATTTCATAAGGGCGGACATATCGCCAATAATCCTTCATTATCTTTCGAAACGATATCTATAAACGAAATGAAACTTAAAAAGTTGTTTCTCCCAAGTTCACGCTGTAAGTGAGCCATTGCTACTTGCCCCTGTTTCCTATCAGTTACTGGGTGATGAGAGACACTCTAAGTGCCAATGACGTAGATGACCCACGTTAGCGGATGTTGCGGTAATTAACAAAAAGAAAAGGAAACACACACGCTTTTTTGAAAAAGAACCACGCAAAATTAGGCAACATAGCCCCCTGCCGCGGTTTTTGCAGAATTGGTCATCAAACACTCTGTAAGTAGTTAGTAACTTATGTTAATGGTAATAATTAACCGTGACTAAAGTTCGAGCCACGAGCCATTTTATCAGACTTAGAAAGTGACCCGAGCTCTACTTTCAATTCAAATTTCCCCCCTTTCTATTTTCCAGTGATTTGGTCGTTCTTGTTTCATATTTTCTTTAAGGAGTAGGTCTAATTAATTTAGGGAACAAAATATACATTCTAACTGAAGATAAAGGTCGCATGTTTGTACCAAACCTACAGGGATTTTCAACTTAAAATGTACGTTACGTTCAATAGCTGTACTAGGATTTCCTTATAATAGGGTCAAATGTGCGAATTACTTCGAACGAAGCAAAATGCACATAACTAGAAATTTTTATTATTAATATTATTATAATTATTATTCTGTTTTTCCATTTTGTTTTCGGATAAGAAGTGGCCAGATCGATGCCAAATAAATGTTTGGCCATCTTTACACCTGTATTTCGATGAAGTTACATTGCAGAGAACGATGAACGTTTTGTGCCCACAGGTTTGCAAGTATCTTGCGCGACAAAGATCATTTTTGTTTCCGACTTATTATATCTTGCCTGTCTAGCTAGCGATACTTTGAGCGCTGGACGAAGAGATGGGCAGTGGAGCGTGAATATGAGCGGGGTCTTTAGCGGCTTTGTCGTTCGTCTTTGCGGTTCCGCCGCGCAGCCCTCCGAAGCGCACACAAAACCACCAGCTACGCGGGCACACAAAAAAAAGTATTGTTTTTCCTATGATCAGCTTTTTTGATGAATGATAATAGAAAAAAAATCAACACACACCCACCTTTTTTGTAATTTTTAACTCCTTTTCATTACCCCGCCTTTCTAAACAAAGCTTCTCCAAAGTGGGCTAATTGCTTTTCATCTGCATAAATATATCCTGTTTTAATAAAGCTCCTATATCTGTTGTGATGCATATTGTTATGCTATTGTTTCGCTGTTCCTACTGAGAATTCTCGAGTATTTTCATCATTGCATCAAAGACGTCAGCAAAGCAATACTTATCGAAAATCAATTCCCATTCATGATGGATCGTTTTCTTTTCATTCCTTAAGCTTCTTACTCGTCTTCTTAAACCTGGTTGAACAGACGCTTTCTTAATCCGGGGTAAATCCCCTCCCTGACGTAATAAGGGGCGGAACTCAATAGGTACCTATGGTGCTTGAATAAATAAGTTTTGTTTTAAAGAAAATTAAATCATAATTCTGAAAAAGTGTGGGGGGGTATAAATTCATCGGATTTTAGAAGTGAAGTGTAGGCGCGCTAAACCACGCTGTAGAAAGCATGAAGAATCAGTATTTCGAACAAGACGTGAGGTTCATGTCGAGAAAAGTCTCTTTGCTGTTGGTTTTGTCATTTACTTTGTTTCAAGGTAAGGAGATTGATTGAACAACTAAAATTGTTCTGTTTATTTATCTAGCAGTTCCTTTTCTTCACGTGTTTCTTTGTACGCTTAGCAGTTCTAAGACGTATCACTTGATAAAATAATTTTTCGAGGAAATATTCTTTTACTTTTTCGTTCAATTTAACGTGAAAATCTTGTCGACCTTAATAAAGAGTTGTGTTCCAATCTCTATCAAGGAGTAAAATTGTTTTCAGCATGGAAACTCTGTTACTCATACCAAATTTAATATGAAAAGGGTCTGGTAATTGTGAATAAGTGCCAGTTAGAGATCTCGCAACCTTCGTCATTTTCAAGTTGTGGCGTCAGATTCGGCAAAGTGTAATGTCCCCCTTTACTGTTTCCGAGCGCCTAAGAAATGTGTGGCTCTCCACTTCCACGTTTGCTGTATTCTTGCGCAATTGCCTCAGACAATTCTTATAGATGTTGATTTCATGACCATAGCCAGAGAGATAAAGGTAGACCCTTTTATCTGACCTAACGGAGCAATTTCTGGATTCCTTGTGTCAATTTGATCGTGGAGTGAACGGCTATATGACAATAAATCACTAATTTGCAAAAGCATAAAAAGCGCAGTTTGTATCAAAGCTGCATTGTAATTTAATTGATCCAAAATCTTCTTGCGCATATCGAATTATCGAAATAAGAGATACGTTTACCCAAGCATCAATTACGAAAATTTTATTCAGTTTGTTTTATTCATGTATTTGTTTTTTGGTTTGTTTTTGTTTTGCCTATTAAAAATTGCGCTTCTTATTTTCAAAGAGGAATGTACACATATAGGGGGCTTCCTAAAAAACTTCTCAGAAGAATCTCAAAATGTGCGTGTTCAGTGGATCATAGTCAGTAAAATTTCAAATGCTGCTCTTTGTGAAATGTAGAGAAAAGTATTATCTTGTAAAGCATTGTTGACTTTCATCGCAAGGAGAAGCACTTTTCACTTAGGTTCTTAATTCTTCAGTTTCATGTTGCTGTTGCTTAATTTCACTCTTAACTTAGGGGGCACGATTTTGCATTTTCGAAAAACGATTTTCGATAGATTTTTAGTTTATGTGTCAACTATCCTTTTCACCCTTTTAACCTCCCTTCCTCCCCACTCCTCTATCCTCTTTTCCTCCCCCACATAGAGATTGGGCTGTAAGTCATCCATTCGTTTGAAAGAGATTACAAACTCATTTTTCTATTGTTCTGTGAATCAGATGTGTCATCTGCGCCTAGCTCGAAATGCGAAGTAAAGGCTTCCTGTTCAGAGTCAGCCAGTTGCCAAATCACAAGGAATATCACAGTAAATCCAGGTCTCAAGATACCACCCAACTGTGCCATCAACGTGAGAAGAAAGGGAAACATCCACACCTGGCAGCAAGCAAAACAGCAAATTGGTGGAAGCAAGGGCTCATTGGATTTGGTCTTACAAGAAAAGGGGAAATCAAAGAATGGGAAGTATATCTGCCAGTGCACCGCTGTACATTTTACACGTAAGCAGCTCCTCATTTATTTGACTTGGCTGAAACTGTTCTCAGCCCCCACTGGGGCCTTGTTCCTGTCTCATTTGTATTCATCGTTGTTCGACTCTCATTAAAAAAAAGAACTGTAAGTTATGCCTGCAAATGTTTAACCACCTTTGCTGTTCGTTTGAACTAAATAGTGCATCTTTACATTTAGCCAAGTGTCTCAGAAGCCTAGAGTTATGGACATGGCTTGAAATGGGGTTCGTTTTGGGGAAAAGGAAGCAGCTTTGTCGATTGCTAGTCACATGTTAAACTACCAACCCGATTTCAATTTCTTGAGAATTCATTAGGCAAGTGTTGACACCTCAGGTGAAGTAATATCCTTATTATATCCAGGTGCTGTTAATCTTCTTTGGGGAAGTAGTTCCCCAAATATTATATCAAAAGACAAAAAAAATGAACTGGAATGCGTTTTCTCGGCTTGGCCTCTACCTGCTGTTGTCAACTGGTACAAGGATAAGTTGCCAAATACTAATAGAGTGCGTTTACCGTTGATGAACGGAACCAAAGGCATTTATCAATCTCTGGAGAAGATACGGGTCAATGAAGAAGAAGCGATTCGTAGTGTCCTTCGTTTCCCATTAGGAAGCGAGGAACACGAAGGATTCTATACCTGTAGTGTAGTGGATAGTATTCAAGGCTGGTCCAGCAATAAATCCTATATGGTACAACTAATATTCATTTGTAAGTAGTCATTTCAATCACTTTTGTCCAACATAGAGGCTTCAAAACCACGAGTGTAGGCATGATTTAAGGACCGTTTCAATTTTTTTTTTTATATGTAGCTTTTGACTATCAGAGTTGCTATTACACACTTTTATGCTTTATGAATGAATGGTGGTATTCACACACAGGTAAATCCACTCATATTGTAACATTCAATGATAGGGGCAGGCTGCTTCAAGTAAGAGCGGGCATTCTCAAAATGCAAGAACGTTCATGTTTAAAAAATTTTGATATCTGTTGGTAAACACTGAGACGAAGAATTTCCTTAAATTATCCACTGTTGTTAGCCACTGTTGTCTATAAGATATGATTGCCTCAGAATAATTCATAACGAAAAAGCACTCCCCACACATCAAAAGGTTACCAAAGCCCCTTAATTATTGTTAATGAGTTATCATGGTTTTAAACTTTTTTATCGCGGAAACACAGGTCCTCGACCACAGCCCCCCACCACTTCAACATCTATGGTCTCTGCAAACAAACTTTCCAACGTAAGCCTAACATGTTTAGTTGACAGCGACGAGACTGGCTGCCCAGATGAGCTGCATTGGTATAAAAACAATGATCACGTTCCCTTGGCAAGCAGTAAGAAGTACAACATAGTAGTGAAACACACACACAGCAAATGCAAGCAGGAATTTATCCTGAATATTTTTAACGTCACTAAGGTTGATGAAGGGAATTACAGCTGCCAGTGGAAGTGTGAGTATGAGGACACTACGAAAGCATCAATTGTCTTGAAAGTTTCCACTTGATCAACAACAGGTAAATATAAATATGTTCATCACTGAGTTCAGAGTGATGAGTTATAGGAAAAAGCCTCTGCAGCAGGCGCTATTAGCAGTCAAAGTATTATGTACGGAGTTTTGAAGGTGCAGAAAGACGCACTTATTGAAAGGATCTCATACTTGAACCAGAATGTAATTTTGTCGGGATGTTATTCAAACATTAGTTGAGAAATTAATTACAGCAACTGTTAATAGTTTTATCATATTTACTCTGAGAACATCAAGTTCTCCAAACGTACATTTATTTCAGAAGTATTATAGCACCAAAATTGGAAAGCTTACGACAGAGCGACCTTTTCTTTTTTTATTTCTTATCCATCCACTAATTCAAGGGTATCATTTTTCTTGCTATCTGGAGGCAATATTCTTGGAAATGTCCTCGCCATTAACTTTTTATAATGTACAGTTGATATCAAATTAAAGCATGAGATCTTGCACTTTTTCATGCTTAGTTCTCTTTCTATTCATAGGAGACATTTCTTCTTCGTGAGGGTCAGGAATAACACAGCAGGAGTTAGTCGGCAACCAAGAAAAAAATGAAATGGCGAATTTTAATTGTGATCAAAAGCTTCAGCCTTTTTTTTTCTATCTATAGTAAGCTCAGTGGATTTGAGAGTTCGAAAAATATCGAACTGAATTAGCAGCAAAGCAAGCTTTCAGGCAGAATTAAAAGTTTTCGGTTCACTTTTGGTAAAGGAGTTGCAATTACTGACTTCACGTTTATTGCTAATTAACTGAAATATTTAAAAAGTATGAAGAAATTCCCAAATTTGAAGGTCAAGTTGGTACCCCTGAGGTTCAGGCTTGCTGTAAAAGACTTGAACACATGACTCTGAGTCCCTTTATCGGCGCCGTAATTCTCCCTGGCCAACTAATCCATCGAGCCATTTAAAAATTGGCAAAAGTCTGATTCTTTATAACTGAGAGGGATGAATATGTGGAAAGAAATATGTGATAATCTTATATCTCAGTGCTGGAATAAAGTTGGCTAATCAGTTGAGGAGGAGAATTGCGTTGCGGTCATGCAATCGCATTCCGTTTAAGCCTGGTTATTTTTAGGCGTTGTGAGTAAAAGTAATTTTACTTGATATAATCTTTTCTAAGGTTTTAAGAAGCAAAAAAAATCATTCAATGGCTTCTACCCGCCAGCGTCAAGGTCACGGAGATCGCCTAGCTCTCATTAATTAATGACGGTTCGAGCCTCCACACGATAAAAAAAATAGATTCCATGTTGTTGAGTCTGCTCAGTGGTCGATCAAAGAAAAATTTCAGTTGGTACGTAAAAGCCTAAGTGTTACTACATTTTTTCGTCTGTGATCCGTAACTGCAGAGACGCACGGAAACTTGGGACGTATTTGTTAAGTAGAGAGCGAGTACTCGTTGAGCTCGCCCAGAGCCGAGCATAATTAGAGCCAAAATATGTCTGAGGCTTTATCTGCGGTTGACTAGCCATTCAAAGCATAAGAAGCTTTTCTTTGAGCTATTTCAGTTATGGCTCTCCACTACTTAAAGCGACACTATCATCCCGAGAAAACCACTTCCTTGCGATCACACAACTTTAATTCTTTCATGATTAAAAATCTCATCATTTTCTACAACACAATGTCTCAAAGATGCAAATTATTATACCCTCAACAAGGAAACATGCTGCACGTGGCGCCGCTTCCTGTTTAAATGTTCACATCGCCATAACCATGCATAGCCATATTTAGAGACCATCGATATGGTCAATCGCGAACCATCAATGAAGCGAGCCAACAGTTGTCCAACCTCTTGATGATTCAGATTAAGAAGTAAAAAGGAAGCTTAGCCCGGCTTTAATGTGAGCCAAATAAATTTTTGTTCGGACCCTTTTATATACCTCAATGAAACAGAAATTAGTTTCTTTCGGAGACACTTCCGCTGTCGTAAAATGTTACCTGTAAATTAAGGAGAGTGTCATTTGGTAAATCGCCGACCACTTCATCGTAACCGGTCGCTTAGCTGAACTTCAGAGTAAAAGGCTTGATTCTGCTCTATAAAACAGATAAATACGAAGGAACTTGAAACTGAGTTCTGAAAGTTCATTTAAAGCTTGACGCTCACATTAACAAACGCAGGGTTTCCGTCCTCGTTGTGTGTTGCGATCACTGATAAGTTCCAATTTAAATTGATTACGGAAAAGAAATGAACTAATGCTCCAAAAATTTGCCTCAGGCGGATTAATATCCCTACCGTGGTAACCTCACGTGTTGAACGTGCAACGATTTCATTGCAAAGGGGAAATGGGTTGGCCAGTGTTTACGTAGAGAGTATATAATAATATGTGTAGTTTGATTAGTATTATGCTGGCAGTATGAGGCGTTTGCAATCTAGAATTACATGAAATGTGCATCTCCTGAGCTGAAACTGAAGCATTACAAGGAAAGTGTCTTTTAAAAAAAACTGTTGAGTGAGTTACAATAACATCTTCAACGAAACATTTTATCGAGGCAAAATTTTTTATACCAAGAGATCGAGAGGGAATGTCTTAATCAAAACTTACTACAACAGAGTAAACGGCTTGACATGTACAGCTACGGCTTTAGCCTCGTATAACAACAGAACAAATTAAAATAAAAAGAGAGCTCAGTAACATACTATAAACCGGCATAAAATCTCCCTTCAGGCTTCGTATTATAACGCAGTTAGTGAAAGCTTGCTATTAGCAAAAGTATTTGAATACGGTGTATATATTTTTGTCCATCATTCAAACTCATTCCAGACAAGGTACCATTAGGGTATTTACCTAGACAACTCGCTTTTTGCGAATATATGAAATATCCAGAGCTTCTGGCTTCTGTTAAAATGAACCCTTCAGGAATGATTTTATGACAGGCATTTTGCTGCTATAAATACAAACACAAATGATAGTGAATGAAGAGAAGGGATATTTCATTCAATCTCTTAAAAAAACGTTCCGTTTTTATAACAACAACAACAGTAGCTATCGAACGTGATATTGACCCCTCATTTGAAACACTCAGCATCAAAATGAAAAAGATGTTCCTCAAGAGTATGCCTTAATCTCCATGAAAATCGATCAATCATAGTAGCGGAGACAATAAATATTTCTGAATTGACTATTTTAAGTATACAGTATAGAAAGGAATTGGCTTTTTTGAATGGACCACTTGCTCATCGTAGAACACCAATGACATAGACAGTGCTCCTACAATTATTAAAATGTCTGGGTAAATCAAAATTAACATTAAAATTTATGGAATTAAATCAATATAACAGACGCATGAAATAGGACAGTGTGCAGACTCGTAAATGAGAGAATGAACAAATGCATGGCGACAAAAAAAAATTAGTTAGTTAACCTTATCAAAATCCCATAGCTTCCTTTTATATGTCAGAGTCAGGTTACTCAATAATCACTCGCCTCACAAATGATGTTATAGTCGTAGTGTCGACTTCAGCGCATATTCAACTCGGCTGGCTGTAGTTAACTCATTGCACTTTCCAGTTTTTTTGGCTGTTTTATTGATGTTAACGATGATGACTCCATTAAAAAAAAGCATTGGACGAAATGAAATAAAGACTCTATGATGAATAATCCTTCTGCCGTTAAAAGTAGAAATACCGTCTCTGGTATGTTGGATATGGATCTATTAGTCTGGCATTGTAGGAGCAATCTTTTTCACAACTTGATCAACTTACTGAATGACACTTACTGATTGTACTGACACTGGTTTAGTCTTTCCAAAGAGGAAAATTTCCACAGCAACAAAGTTCATCAAGCTTGAGTTTATTTAGTTCTCCTAGTGGTGTTCTGTATCAGTAAAGTTTAACCAGCCTTTATTCACTCGCTAATTTACGTTATCAACTCAGTTGATAACGTAAATAAGCCATCGTAAAGAGTCTAAAAGTTGACTTTCTAGTGTTTTGTCGTTCGACTGGACGAAGGGCTAACGCTCGAAATGTCACTCGAACTCTCTACGGTGGCCAATTTACGTTATCAACTCAGTTGATACCACTAACTTACCCTGCTATACCCTCTCACCGATACAGCATCACAGTTTCTCTAGAAACTTACCTCCTTTTTTCACTTTACTCACTCGTTGTTGGATCTGTCTTCCATTTCTCATTTAATCGAACGTCACATTTCTTACCACCGGATGCACAAGTCTGAATCTTTATTAGACATCCAGAAGTTGTAATATTAAACTGGTCCTGAAAAAAATCTTAACAATTTTCAAACATCGTAAGAATGAGAGATAAAACGTCTTTACAAACATGCCAGAATAAAAACAATTGCTACTTGAAGTCGGGCAGGGTAATTACGACAGAAGTCTTTTGAGTTGATTGACCACCTTGTCGACAGGGTGGCTGAGGAAGTTTTGCGTCGGAAATAAACGTCCTCACTCGGTGGAAAAAACCAAGTTAATGCACGATCACGTTAGCGAGGTTACTGAGCAAGCAGTTTGCCTTGAGTGGATGCGATGCATTGACTTCCTTCTCCACCACCCTGTAACCCGTGTCACGCATTATTACTATTCCAGATGCATTAAAGGTCCCGGTGAAGGTTTGCTAAATTTACGCCAAGACTTTTTAAGAATTATATGGAAAAAGGCAAAGATTCACACTGAAGATCTTCGGCGTAAATGGTTCAGAATGTAGCCTGGCGAATATACTGGCATCGTTTGTTTTGAAGTAAGAGTCTTTCATGATAGACAGTAAATTTCACTTTTTACCCACATTTACTTCCAACCTTTTCTTTTGAACCAGAAACAAAAATGATATTGTTTAAAACACATGACATCATCCACCCTTGCCAAATGTAATAGCATGATCATTTCAATTGTGATGCCTTCTCATCCCAACGTTACTTTGCATTGTTTCTATGCTACGTTAGCGAACACTGAACTACTGCTCGTACTCTAAATATGACAATCAACCACAAAATTCCCTAAACCAGATAACATTAAATATAATCCAAAAATCATGTAAGTCATCTGTCAATTCACGAGTTTGCTCACAAAGCACTTTGATTAAGTTTTGAGTTCCCGTTCGAGTTGCGATTCCGTTCCCTAGGAAGTGAAGGTTTAAGATGTAAGGTAAATTTTATTTTCCAATTAGACTTAAACGGCCAGTCTACGTGTGAATCAAAGGCTGTTTTTATCGCTTTCAAGCTCCATCACAGGCTTGATTATTCGAGCGAAACTGAGCTGAATTCCAAAAGAAGTATTAGACGTGCCGGCACGTATGCCGTGTCTTACCGAGTTCATACCTCCACATACAAGCGGCTTACACCTTTGTGGGTGGAATTTTCAACTAGCCATCACTCCCACGCCGGTTCATTTCACTAGCCAACGTAATCGAACCGTGAGCCATTTCAAGAATTGGTGTCCCCTTTTTCTAAAGCTTGCAAGTTCTATCATACATGCATCTCCAAACTACTAATGCTGGGGTTCAAAGTCCCTTTGTGTATTCACATGCAGTCTCAATTCAGTTTCTCTTATCCCCCAGAAATTACGTATCTCTTACTTTTTGTCCCATGGCTTTACAGTTTTCAGCAAATGCTCGCTTGTTTGTCAGTTTCTATGTTTTTTACAGTTATTATATTCCTTTTTTTTCCCGCAAGAATAGATCTACCAACAAATGGGGGTCGAAACACAAATGTTTTAATTCATAACAGTGACACCCCACATCTTACATGAGCGTCAAATGAACGAAGGAAAATTGAGATTGAGAGTTTGAAAGAAAATGTTGCTATGGTCCAGAATTCGAAAACACACGAATGGAAAGAACGAGGCAAATTGGGCCGCGAGGATGATAACACATGGATAAGATCTAACGGGTTGCAAATGACATGGTTGCAAAACTTAAGTCTCCAAGGACACGAACAACATGTAGATGAACATGGCGGGAGTGAATCCACAGTGTCGATTTATTTGATAAAGAAACAGAAGTTGCCAGACCACAATCAAGTATAATTTCTGCGTTTTTACTCGAATATACAAATAGTTGC